CCCAGAGCAGAGGGGCACCTGAGCGAGCAGACTGTGGGACGTTGGCCCCACAACGGACTTCACTCTGTTTCCATCGCAGAAATGAATACGTAGGCCAGGAGCAATCCCGTGCTGGACACTCCTCCTGACATTCATGGAGCCCCCGGATGTCCCGCTCCCGTGAAGGATCAGCAGCCTTGGGCGTCCACGCCAGGGGATACGCTCAGCAGCACAGGCATGAGTGCTGACACCTGCAACCCCAGCAGGCAGTTTGTCCCTCCTCGCTCTGCTGACATTTTGGAACTTCCTCCTCTGTTGTGGTGACGTCCTGTGCACTGTGGGACACTGAGCAGCACCCCCACAATGCCAGAGCTCCTGCCCCCAGGCTGCGGAAAACAGATGCCCTGGGGAGCAGAATGACTCGGTTCCCACACTGAGATGAGAGGCAGCAGGAGGGGGTTCTTTTGGGGCTGCTTTGTGCCCCGATGGGAGTGCTGGTTACAGGATCCATACGTGGGTTAAAACCCACAGGTCTGGCCCTGGCCAGGCTGGTTAGTTGGTGGGAGTGTTGTCTTGTGCACACACACACAGACACACACAGACACACAGAAAAAAAAAAAAGTTGCAGGTTCAATTCCTGGTCAGGGTGCATGTCAGAGGCAACTAATTGAAGTTTCTTCCTCCCTACCCCCTTTTCCTTCCTCTCTAAATAATCAATAAAAACATATCATTCAGTGAGCATTATAAGAAAAAAAAACAAAAAACCGACAGACCTGTGTATAAAAAAGGATCAATATTACTATATGTTAACTTAAAAACTAAAATTCAAAACACACACCCCACCCTCCCAAACACACAAAACCAAGCAAAACACCAGAGAGTGGCAAACCATTTACCAAAGAAGAAACCAGCTAATTCATTGCTCTGGGCCCTCTTACCTGCCAGTCAGTGGGCCAGATACCTCTCCACCACTTTCCTCCTCATGCAGAAAGGAGGTCAGCTATAGTTATACATCTGTTTCATCCTAACTTAAGGATCACCTCATGGCAGATAAAAGCCCAGTTAAATGCGAATGTCAGTTAAACAACTAATAATTGCTTAATATAAGTATGTCCCACATATTGCAAACATTATTCATTTATCTGAAATTCAAATTTAACAGGGCACCTGCATTGTTATTTGAAAAATCTGACAGCTCTATTCTTGGAGAAATCTTCAGGGTTTTTAAAAAAGATGTTATTGATTTTTGGGGAGAGGGGAAGAAGGAGAGAGAGAGAGAAACATCAATGATGAAAGAGAATCATTGATCGACTACTCCTGCATGCCCCCTACTGGGGATCAAGGCACAATTGGTCATGTGCCCTGATCAGGAATCAAACCCTGACCACCTGGTGCATGGGTCAACGCTCAACCATTGAGCACAGTAGCAGGGCAGTTTTTTGTTGTTGTTGTTGTTGTTTTTTGTTTGTTTTTGATTGTTGTTTTTAATCTATTAACCATTGGCTACAATATAAATCTTTTTCAATTTTCCTGAAGACACAGAATGTATGTCTTTTTTTCATTTATTTGGCCACCTCAGTCTCTCGGCCTGATTCATTCAGCTTGGCTCCTTTTTGGTGTGACTTGCCCCAGACATTTAAATACAAGTAATGGGAAGGAACACTTGGGCATGCTAAGTAAAGCCTGTGTATGTAACATCATAAAATGCAAGCGAGCTCCGTCACCACCGCCTGCAGGTCTTCTCCCCTGCACACCCTGCGCCCTCCCTCGGATATGAACATAAAGTGAACTTTAGGATGAACATAACCTCGCATTCCGTCTTCCCACACTTGTAGCCACACTGGCTCGTGTTGGGCCTCCCCCTCAGGGCTGATCTCAGGGCCCTTCCTTTGTGGGTCTCCTTCCCAGTGGTACCTCAGGGCGTGGAGCGCCGCTGTCCTGGACACCGAGCAGGAATACGTGTGAAGAGATGCATGCCTTGTTTTAGGTGGCTGGTTGCTACTTCATGTTGCACCCTGAGTTTAATGATCTTGTCTGATAATGCCCCCATGGCCTCTCAGGCTTCAGCTAAAGGCTCCACTGCAGTGACTTGTGTGCGTGGCGGTCGGGGAGGGTGTAGGCATGGCCTGGCTCTCCCCCGGGGCGTTTTGCCTCCCAGAGGCACTGGGTTATGTTTTGGGGAGCAGCCAGTGATGCTCCTACACACCCTACGATACCCCCGCAGTCCCCGGAGGGCATGTTCAGCCCCAACCCACGTGCTGGGAAGAGAAGCCCCGGTGTCTCCAGTGGCCCCTTTGGTGACCATATCTGGGCCCAGCATGCAGGCCAATGTGGCCTTCACAGGCCAGTCAGCGGCAGGTGCTAGTGCAGAGTCCCCAAAGACCCCCCTCTTTCTGCTCCATCGCCCATTTCCCAGTGGAGGCGGTGGGTCCCTGGCCCTGGCTGTACCGAGGGCTCAGGAGCAAGCCAGCCCACCATCCGCCGTTGCGGGAAACGCAGGGTTACTGCATCGGGCCACGTCGCATTTCCAGGCATTTTTATTTTGCCCTTAAAAACCTTCCAGGGGGGAACGCAAATCCTAGGAGCTTGGCTTTAATGGTTCCTTTTACAGAACTGCTCCAATTATAGCCGGTGAACTCTGGGAAACCCCGCTAAAGAATGCAGGGAGCGAATGCTAAAGGGGTTAATTTAGGGGGAAATAGTGGCAGATGGGGAGCTTGGTCTTTGAAACACCCTCGTTGTTAAAAAACCAAAGCAAACCCCCGGTGCTGGCCTGGTCCTTGGGAGGCGCTTTCCTGCCTTCGCCCGTCTGGAGGGCTCCAGGTGAAGTTAATTCCAGATGCGGATGGGCCAGGGCTCCTGGAGCAAGGGTTCCGCTGGCCTCTGACCCAGCACCCAATGTGGGCTCACGTCTTTTGTGGTTACGCAGCCTGAGCTGGTCAGGGTTTGCCCCCTCATTTCCAAGATGGGGTCCTTGGGCAGGGTATTGGGTCTCTGGGATTGTCTCTCTTTGTCTGTCTTTGGAACACTATCAGCACCAGATATGACATTACATACATGTTGGCCAATGGCCTCATGGTTCCCAGAGCAGAGAGATCGCCCATTTCCCCATCACCACTGGCAGAGCACAGGACATGCAACTGCTCCGTCAGCTTCCCCAGGATCCATACCCTCTTCCTCCTGCCCGAGCTGCTCCAGACTTTCCTCCCTGGCCTGTGGCAGCCTCTGCCCCGGGCTCTGGGCTCTCCGTGGCGGGGATGGGCACCTGGACACAGCCCGCACATGGCGTGCCAGCGACATGCTCTCCCAGTCTCCACGCGGCCTGGCCACAGCCCGAGTCGGCATTTACCAGGTGCCCTCCAGGGGCAAAGCTCTGCTCGGAGGAGCAGCTGTGGTAAGTGCCAGGGCCGGGGCTTGACCTCAGGAAGGCTGGCACTGGCCTGGAGGGGTCTGGGTTCCGAGTCTGGGTCTCACCCAGACCAGGAGCCAGGCCCAAGCTGTGATGTTCAGCTGCCGCCTTCCGCCTTCCACCCTCCCAGTGCTCCCCTCTGCCCGCTCCTGCCTTGGCTTCCCCACCTCAGGGACGGCCCCTGCCTTCTCCCAGAGGCTCAGGCCCAGAGCCAGGAAGTCGACCGTCTTCTGACCTTTATGTCCACCAACTCAGCATTGCCCTCGGTCCCCTCAGAGCAGATCTGGGCTGGGTCGTCCTGGTCTAGTTAGGTGACCATTCGGTGAACTGAGCGAAAGATACATGGGGCTTCCTGAAGTCTTTTGCAACTTCCTGTGAGTCAGTAATTATTTCTAAACAAGACATTACAAATAAAGTAAATCCTAAAGGTGGATTTAAAAGTGAACTCCTAAGCCCTGCCCAGGCCCACCTCCCCCTGTCTCCGGCTCCTGTCCTAGGCCCATAGTGCACTCTCCAGGGCCAGCCCGGGGCCATCTTTTGCAAACAACTCAGGTTGCCCACTGCTCGGCTCTTGGACCCGTGGTTTCCACTTCATGCCGATCCTGAGGATCCTGGGGCTTCAGTAACAAAACACAAACCGGGGAGCTGGGGACAACAGGACGTGAGTCTTTCCAGTCCAGAGCTCCAAGTCCAAAGTCAAGGTGCCTCAGGTCTGCGCTCCCTCCATAGGCTGTGCCTCCCGCTCCTGGTGGCTCCAGGCGCTCCTCAGTGTTCCGTGGCCATTCTCCGTGTGTGTGTGTGTGTGTGTGTGTGTGTGTGTGTGTCTGCCTTCACGTGGCCTTCTTCTCAGGACACCAGTCTTTGGGTTAGGGCCCTTCCTAATCCAGTATGACCTTAACCGTTTTCATAGGCACAGATGCTATTTCCAAAGGTCACCTCATTATGACCTGGGGACATGAACTTGGGGGGGAGGGAGATACCATTTGACACAGTAAATAGACTAAGGCAGAGTACTTCCTTTCTGACTGCCCCCTTCGCCCCTCACCCCAGGCTCTGCTCCAGCCTGCGGCCAGTCTCCTGAACTCGCCCACCTGGCTCCCGTCTCTGAGCATTGGCCTTGGCAGTGCCCTCTGCCTGGAATGCCCTATCCCCAAATATCCTCATGGCTCTCCTCCTCCCCGCTACCCGGTTCTGTGTGCAAATGGCCCCTCCATGCAGAGGGTGGTAGACATGAGGGCGGATTGCAACCATCCCCATTTTCCCTGGCCCTGAGCAGGCTTGCACCACCTCTAGAATTAGATGGCACCACCTCTAGAATTAGATGGATCCTGTGACTGCTCCACCCAAGGAAATGTGAGCGAAGCTTCCTGAAGCCCAGCTCTGCCCCCTCCCGCTTCAGCTTTTACCCCGGGATACCTGCCTGCCTGCCCCACCAGCGTGGTTCCTCACTGTGCCCTCAGCTCCCAACACAACCTGGCACAGAGCCAGCGCTAACATAGGCCGGTGGACAATGCAAATGCGTGAGTGAGCTGTGAGGCACACGTGCCATCCCCCTCCCCCTCCAACCGCCTCTCCTGTAACGCTCCTATGCATCTGGCTGCTTCCGATCTAGGGCAGAGCATCAACCCCAAGTTGGCGGGCCTGATCGGGCGGCACGGGCCCCAGAACAAGCAGCCTTTCATGGTGGCCTTCTTCAAGGCCACAGAGGTCCATCTTCGCAGCGCCCGCTCCACGGGGAGCCGGCAGCGCGGCCAGAACCGCTCCAAGACGCCCAAGAACCAGGAAGCCCTGCGGATGGCCAACGTCGCAGGTATGTCTTGGGTGAGTTGGGGGGGTCGGGAGAGGGAGGGTCCACACACAGACCCCGGGGCCACGCATGGGCCCAGCGAGGAGGGGCTCGGAAGCCACGTGCTCCACTGGTGGTTGTGGAGCCGTTGCAGCGGGAAACAGCCCCCCCCCCCCCCCCCCCCCCCGACAGCTCACCCCCTGGCTGTCCACTTGCAGAAATGCAGGCACTAAACCCGAGTGTAACAAGATTGGGTGGGCTCTCACTACCTCGCATGCAGCTGTTCTTGCCTGGAACCTGCCTCCTTCCTGTGGATTTCTACTTCCTGGCCCTGTGGGAAGGTCAGCTAAACTCTGCCTGGAAGTTAGATAAGAAAAGAAATACTGAGACCTGGGCCCCACTGCAGCTTAGTACACTGGAATCTGTGTGTGGGTGTGTGCGAGAGTATGTGAGTGTGTGTGCACATGGTGGGTGTGTGCGAGAGTATGTGAGTGTGTGTACACATGGTGGGGTGTGCGAGAGTATGTGAGTGTGTGTGCACGTGGTAGGTGTGTGCGAGAGTATGTGAGTGTGTGTGCACGTGGTGGGTGTGTACGAGAGTATGTGAGTGTGTGTACACATGGTGGGTGTGTGCGAATGTGAGTGTGGGTGCACGTGGTGGGTGTGTGCGAGAGTATGTGAGTGTGTGCACGTGGTGGGTGTGGCGAGAGTATGTGAGTGTGTGTGCATGTGGTGGGTGTGTGCGAGAGTATGTGAGTGTGTGTACACATGGTGGGTGTGTGCGAGAGTATGTGAGTGTGTGTGCACATGCCCCTGGGGGTGCTTCGCCTCTTGTGTGGGGCTGGAGTCCTGCTGCAGGGCCACGCAGGCCACCTCTCGCGGCTGTAGCCCCCTGTGCGCGGGAAGGGGGCTCCAGCATGCTGCCATCCAGGAAGCTCTTCCTTGGAGGATAGCCCACCCAGGCCTTGCACTGCCCTCCACAGGCTGTGGTTTGGGGATGAGAGACTGGGGTCGCTGCCTTCCCTCCACACCCTTTCCCACCCAGGTTTGGACCCAGCTCCCCGGTAATTAGCTGCTCTCGGCAGATGACCCGCAGGAGTGGGAGCTGAGCCCCAGCACCAGTCCTAATTCGCCAGCTGCTCAGGGGGGCTCCTGGCAGGGGAAGAAGCAGCGGCCTCCCAGCCCTGCTGGCTGTTGGGATGGAAGGGGCAGGACTGGAAGGGCAGGGGGGCTGGGGCCTACTTCTTGAGCGTCCCTTTCTGCACCAACATTGCCATCTGCTTGGATCTGAAGCTATAGGAGGGCTCCGTGAGAGGAGAGTGCCACGATTGATTAGCAATGTCTGCCATGGGCAGAGGAAGGACCAGTAGCAGTCTGGGTGCCACTCTCCAACCCCATCTTAAAGCAAAGCAGTGACATTGGGCTTCATGGTGAAACCCAAGGCCCGACAGACCAAGGCCACGCACAGCTCATGAGCTAGTGTGGACAAGCAGCTGGGGGGGGGGAGGTGGGGGGTGCATGTGTGTGAGAGAATATGGATCAGACAGGGAGAGAAAGACAGATCTCGGTGTGCTTACAAGTCCTGAATCCGTACCCAAATGCCTGCAAAGCTCAAACACTTCCCGGAAAATCCCAGTGCATCGTTTCTCTCCTCAGAGAAACCTCAGAGGTTTTTTCTGGAGGATCAGTGTGACTTGACTCCCCGCCCTCTTGTTTCTTCTTGGTGTGTGGTGATGGAGACTTTGTCCCAGGCCCTGTCTTCCCCCTCTGGCTGGCCTCCATGCAGAGCCTCCTGCAGAGCCTCCTGTCGGCATGGATGGGCTTTGATCCTTTATGGAGCCCAGGCAGATGTGAACATCTATAATACACCCACCTGCGTGTACAGACAGCAGGGTTATCAGAAGGATCCAGAGGGCGCTGTGGGCTGGGACTGTGAGAGCAAGAGAGCTTGGCCGCTGCTTGTGGTTGGTTGGGGTGGAAGTGAGTTTGCAGGCCCTGGGTCCTCGAGCAGCGTGTACGTCAGAAAAGCCGGCCTCCAGCGCCACACCTGCCTAACGTGTGTGCTGCCGCCCCCCCTTCTCATCCGCAGAGAACAGCAGCACTGACCAGAGGCAGGCCTGCAAGAAGCATGAGCTATACGTCAGCTTCCGGGACCTGGGCTGGCAGGTAAGGGTGGCTCCCCCGATTGTGGTTCTCTTCTGCATCGATAAGACCCTGGCTTCAAGTGTCCTAACCAGGGCAGAGGATTTAGGGGGAGCGTATGGGGCGCCTCATGAAAACCAAGAGTAGAAATGTGGCTGTGACTCAAGCTGGACACTGAACCCCATTCTGCATGTGAACCCCGTTTCCATCTGTGCTGGCTGCTCAGACGGGTGCCAGAATCCAGCTGCCCTCCACCCCCTCCCATGACACTCATTCCCGGGGAAGGGACCGATGGGCCCCGCTGGGGTTAAGCACTTGTCCCGGGCCCAGTGAACTATGCTAGGGGTGGGGTCGTGCTGTAGGAACATGGCTGCCCCCTCTGGAGCCAGTTGGATGGAGTGAGGCGAAGAGCGGGGGATGAGCCCTAGGAGAGGCGTGAGGGCCACACAATCTAACAGCTAGAAGCCCCTGTGACGTCCCAGGTCCTTGCTAGCCCCTGGGGGTGCAGCCATGAGCAAGCAACCGCCTGTCCTCTCGGAGCTCACACAGCCCGGGCAGGGTGTTGTGTAGGTCACCAGGTCAGTGGGCGAGTCCAGAGTCTTCCCTGGGGCTCATGCCCCACAACGCCCACCCCCAGGCACTGCGTGCAGCCAGTGTGGACGCCTCCTAGATTCTGTCCTCATGTTCATGACGACACCATGCTCTCAGGGAGCCAGGTCCTGCTTGGGTTCTGTGCTGGGACAGAGCCCCAGACCCCGGGCTCCATGGACTAGAGTCCATGAGGGCGTATTTGTCATTGGAGCAACCTCTGAGCACTAACCTGGCCCTAAAGCAATTATGGCCGTGTACATAGTTTTTTGAGCCGCATATGGGTACCGGGCACGTGCTGGGCTGGCTACACTCATTGCATTCAAACCGCGATGGGTTCATGGTCTCCCTCCCAGGCAGGTGAGCCCAGCGTGGAGGTTTCGTTTATGCAAATGGCCGGTCTGTTACCACGTAGTAGAGGTAAAGGTGATGCCACCTGGCCATCCTCTGTGCCACCTTCCCATAAAACCACCACGTCCGTCTGGGGTCAGCCCAGCCCCTCATGGAGGTCTGTTCTTCATTGGCATTCTGCTGGCACCATGAGGGGCTGCCACCCCCTCTGCCTCTGCAGAGCCCACGGCTGCTCAGGGTGTCTGACATGGGAGCCCTGCAGCCTGGCCCACAGCAGGAGGGCTTTGATCCGCCCACGTTTCCACGGGCCCCGGACACGGCCCTCACGGCCACACTCCCCTGTCCCGCAGGACTGGATCATCGCGCCCGAGGGCTACGCCGCCTACTACTGCGAGGGGGAGTGCGCCTTCCCCCTGAACTCCTACATGAACGCCACCAACCATGCCATCGTGCAGACACTGGTGAGTGCGGCTGCACACCGCGGGGGAGGAGGGGAAGTGGGGGAGGGCTGGGGCAGCGGGGCCACGGATCCTCCTGGGCTCCTCCAGGCTGGGGCCTGAGCAGGGCTCTGCCCAAGGCCACCCCATGGCGTTCAAGGGCCACTTTCCCTGAAAACAAGGTTAACAATTATAGTTTACTACTGTGTTGATAGTCTTTGACCCTCATGTTGACTTCTCCTAATTTCAAAAGAAATTAGAACAGTTTTGTGAGTTCCTAAAGGTAGAGTGGGCAACAGTCGCTGTGCCTGGTGGAGAGGTGGCTGTGGCCGTGCCTCTGTTTTGGGGCTGCTGTCCTGGTAACCCCCTCCCCCACAGTGCCTGGTTACCCCCAAAGTACCTGGTCCCCCCCACAATGCCTGGTCTCTCCCACCTTGCCTCTTCCCACAGCTCACATCCACCTCCTGTCCTTGAACTTCGCAGTCAGTCATTCAGGGAATTTACTGTTTATTGAGGGTCTACTGTCCGCGGCCCCTGCAGGGGGAGCTGGGGACACCTCGGGGCCAGCAGGGCCTCGTTGTCCAGGAGAGGGGACAACCAGGAACCAAATGAGGAAAGGCCAGAGGGAGGAAGTGGCAGGAAGATGGCACACAAGGACATTAGGATGAGATGGGCTGGGGAGCCAAGGACCCTTTCAGGCTGACCTTCCATGGGGTCGTGGGAGGATGCAGTGATAATGAGATTCTTAATAAGGTGCCCAGCTCTGATAGCACAGATGACATGTTACTTTTGCTACCTTACCAACAGCAATAGCAGTGAGTTAGGGACCGTGTTTGTTAGCTTGGAATCGGGGGTTCAAGGACATTGGTTGTCTAGCTCCCTGCCATGAACATTGTCTGGGCCTTTCCTGACAGCTGCTCACCCCCCCTGGCTTGAATGCTCCTGATGATAGACAGCTCACTATCCAGGGCCCTCCCTCTCCCACAGTTCTGTTTGTTATGGAGCTCCGTGCTCTTTTGTTTAGTGTCGGCCTCCCTCTTCCCTGGTCCTGTCCCTTTCGCCAGAACCAGGCTCTGTCCTTAGGGGGAAAGCCTCTTTGTCCAGGGCCCCGCCCCCAACAGCAAACTCCAGAGCCAATTTAGGATGGAAAGTTCCTGCTCTGGAGACAAATAGTCCCCCAAGCCTACTCTGTGGCCTGGACCTGCTCCCCCGTCCCCTGTGGTCCTGCTCCGGGGACCCAGGAGGTGATGGGCATGTCTCCCAGGCTGAGGGGAGCACACCTTACCCTCCCACCCTGCCTTTGTGGCCCTGTGACCACCCACTCAGTCCTCGTTTCATCAGACGAATCCTCCGATTATTCTGAAATGGGGGTCATGTTTTCAAAGGGGGCGAATCCTTGTCTTCCAGGAGCCTCAGTGAGAAACAGACAGAGCGAGCTGGCGTCTGGGATTTGCTTTAAAGGGATTCCCGGGTGGGAAAGATGTGGGAAGGGTTAGATTGTAAGGCTGTGAGCAGTCATCCCCGGTGCTTCCACTGGGCACTCGAGGTGTGTTAGAAACCTGGAAACGTCCCTTAAAAAAAACCCAGAGCCGAGTCTCCAGCCTGTCCTGCACCGCTGGCATATCTGACTGCGCTGCTTTGGTTGCTGCAGTCAGTCTGTGGCCTGAGAAGAGAGGAGTTTAGTTTTCCCCACGCCTCACTCCTTATCGTCTCCCTCCTGGCCTCAGTCACGCATCGGTGACACTCCTGTGGACATGCAGGCGTTTGAGTTTGTTCACCCCCTGACCCTCATCGTGTGTGAGGACGCAGAAGCCCTGAGTGAGAGGGGGCCTGAGCCTGAGCTACTGCCCAGCCTCTTCCCCCACCTGCTGGATGTCCGTCCACCCAAGTGTTTGCCCAAATTCCTTGCCTCTTATTTTTATTGCTCGAGAGGCAAAACAGGCTAGTGTGGCCTAGACCTGCACCAGGCGATGCAGTAATATTTTACCTGTGGCTCCTTGACGTGTGCCCGGGCTGGGTTTTGAAGACTTGGTACAAAAAAGGTAAAATATCTCATTAGTGACTTTTTAATGTTAAGTATATTTTGACATAGTAATATTTTTAAAATATACTTTACTGATTTTTTACAGAGAAGGGGGAGAGGGATAGAGAGTTAGGAACATCAATGAGAGATAATCATTGATCAGCTGCCTCTTGCACACCACCTACTGGGGATGTGCCCGCAACTAAGGTACATGCCCTTGACCGGAATTGAACCTGGGACCTTTCAGTCCACAGGCCAGTGCTCTATCCACTGAGCCAAACTGGTTTCGCCAACATAGTAATATTTTTGAAATACCAGGTTGAATTAAATATGTTATTTAAATTAACGTTACCTGTTTCTTTCCCATCTTTTAAAATGTGGCTGTGAGAACTTTTAAAACGACAGGTGTGACTCTTGAATAGGACAGATCTCACTCAGAGGTCAGCAGCCTTTTTCTGAAAAGCGCCAGATGGTAAATGTTTTTTTATCTGACAGCCATAAGCTGCAATTGCTCCACTCTGCCCTCATAATGAGAAAGCAGCCATAGATGCTACGTAAATGAATGGGTAGGAATGGGTGCCAATAAAAATTTATTCACAAAACCAGGTGGTGGGGCAGGATGTGGCCTGTGGGCTGAGCCTGGTTCTCAACGTGGGGCAGTTTGGCCCCCCAGGGATATTTAATGTCATGATTGGTGGGTGCTTCTGATGCCTGGGCCCAGGGATGCTGTTAAAATCCTACAGTGCACAGGACAGCCCCATAAGAGAGAGAGATCTGGCCCACGTGTCTGATCTGGCCACCGACATGCCCTTGTGTGCTGTGCACGCCTCTGTTCGGGCACATGGGTCCCTCATCTGTGAAGCAGGGAGGGTTACAAACCCAAGTTAATTACGCAGAAAGCGCTCAGAACTGGGCACACTCGGGGAGTGCCCGTCGGTCATTGTGCCCAAGCAGTGCGTGTCCCTTGCACACATCAGGAGGCCAGAGAGAAGGGCCGGCCACGTCTCACCACGCCCCACGCCTCGGTGTGCGTTGCAGGTCCACTTCATCAACCCAGAGACGGTGCCCAAGCCCTGCTGTGCCCCCACCCAGCTCAACGCCATCTCCGTGCTCTACTTCGACGACAGCTCCAACGTCATCCTGAAGAAATACAGAAACATGGTCGTCCGGGCCTGCGGCTGCCACTAGCCTCCTGGAAGGAAGTCAGACCCTTCGGGGCCACCTTCTCTGGATCCTGCAACTCACCACCACCCAGGGGTCCCAGGCCCACCTTGGCAAGGAGCCAGCGGACCGGCTGCCCGGTGTGCGGCCTCCCCGTCCCCATCCCCAACTGTAATGGCGCAGGAGCGCTAAGGATTCGAGAGGCCAGTGGCTTTTGATCAGTTTTCTGTTGTCTCCTATGGACAAGATCCTAGAAGCTGCTGCAGGCGAAAGGTAACGGGAAGAAAATTGCATAAAGAGAACCTGCCCGGCCACGGTCGTGGGCTGTGAAACCTGGGCCGCGCGCCGACTCGTTCCCGGGGCCATGAGGAGCGCCCCGCACCCAGGACCCAGTGGTGGGAGGACGGGGGGCCGCAGGGAGGGGTGTCTGTGCTGAAGGAATGTCGCGGAAGTGCCTGTAATACGTGTCCCAATAAAAGGAATGAACGAAAATGGTTAGGATGTTACAGATATATTTTCCTAAACGATCTATCCCCATTCCTTGGTCTCCCCTGATTTCATAAACAGAGGCTGTGGCAGGCGGAGGGCTGAGGGCGGAGGTGGGGAGGCCACTCTCCATTCCACTTGGGTTTCCTCTGAGGTTTCCAGAGGCCCAGGGTTACGTAGACTTGTCCAAGCTCACGATGTGGCTGGGAGGGAGGAGGGCACATTCTGCTCAGAGGAAGGGGTGTGTTGATCTCGAAGGAAAAATGCGTTCCGTCATCCAGCCGGGTGTGTGATGGCCCCGCGGCCCGGCAGATGTTCGCAAGTGCTCGTCCAGTTCTCCTGGCCAGGGCGTCCGCGTGGAGCAGAGCGGAGGACCGCAGCTTTAGCACAGAACCAAACCAGCGACGTGACCCTGAACTCTGGCCAACGGGGCCCTGTGTAAACACGCCCCAAGGAAGCCTCGCTCTCCACAGGGCTACTCCCCTCCCCCCACGTAGGCTTGTCTGTCGTGCAGTGACAGTCGTGCAGTGACAGCCCCGCTCTGAAGTCTGGGTTCAGTCTGGGCCGCAGGCCCCTCTTCTCATTGGCAGACCCTTGCTGAGGGCTCTGCAAACAATGGATCGGCTCCTTGAAGCACAGTGGGAGCTGTGCTGGGCGTAGGTGAGCTGTCCCAGATCTCCAGGGAAGGACCTAGAGCCTTTGAGAAGGACATCCCCACCCCGTGTCTCAATTGGAATGGCTCCTGGGAGAGCCTTCCTCGCCTTGGCCAGAGGCCCCCTAAACCGTGTGCACCGCCTCCTGCTGCAGCACAGACTCTGCACAAAGACCGGCCTTACCCAGAAGGCCCCGGGACAGGCTCTGGGGGGACTGTTCCTCTGTCGTGATTAAGTGTGTTGCTGGAAACTTTGTTTTTTACTTTCTTTTGCTTTTTCTTCTTTAGTAGCTTGGGCTGCAGCTTCACTCGAGCTGGTTTGCAAGGAAGAGTCGCTGTTTCTGTAGCATTTTATTTCATCTGTTAGCAGACATGGAGGTTTTTGTGTGATCCCCTCTAGGGGCAAGTTTTCTCACCTCTGGGCAGCATCATTTGTACACTGAAACTGTAAATAGCTGTTACAAAGCAGTTATTTATGTCCAGGAGCTCCTTTAGACTAAGGTGACCAGACGTCCCGCTTTTGGCGGGACAGTCCCGATTTCTAACAATTTGTCCCGCCTCCTGTGACATTTTAAAACAGTCCCAATCTTTCCAAAACTCGGGACAGTTTTAAAACGCCGAGGGATGTGGGACAAATTGTTAAAAATTGGGACGTCTGGTCACCTTACTTTAGATCCTCTTCCAGTCTCTTGTTTGGGACGATGGGCTTGCTTTTTTTTTTCTTTTTCTTTTTTTTTCTTATTTAAGACTATTTATTAACGGTCGGACCATTGTATCTTCAGCTATTGTGTAGAACAGCCCTCAGCGAAAATTCTGTATTAATTGACAAAATAAAAAGGGTTTTGACTTTGCAATAAAAGGAGACATTTGGTTCTGGTTCCTGGGCCTGTGTGTGTGTGTGTTGTGTGTTTGTTTGTTTGTTCATTTGTTTGTTTGTTTATTTGTTTCTCAACTCCAGACTCTGGCATCCCCTTGGCCTGCTAGGAGCGCTCTGCCTGGCCTCGGCCATTCACACTGTTTGTTAGCCAGGCCCGGGGAGGAAGGGGCACTCATCAATATCTGGTGCAGCTGTGGATGGAGCCCAACAACAAATGTGAATTGAGTAGGCTCGACTACAAAGATCCTTCCCTGGGTTACATGTAGCACAGCTGTCAGCAGCTGTTTCAAAGAGGCAGGGGGTAAATTAGCTGTGTTTACTGCTAACATAGTTGAAAGGTTTAGTCATCCCAATAAAATAGAGGCACAAGAAAGAAAGGGGGGGAAAAAAGGTGGGAGGGGAGTGTACACCCAAAAGTCCTGAGCAGCACAGGCTGCAGAGCCGGCGTTGTCCAGCGTAGATGATTCCGGTGGTTTGGGGAGGGGGGGCTGCCAGTCCCAGACCCAGCTGGGGACGGCCCACCTCAGGCCTGTCCGCGGCCAGGGGCCTGCTGCCCAACGGCGCACAGAGCAGCCACGCACGTGGGACAGCCTCCTGGGTTCCTTTTCGCTTTGAAGTGCCCGCTAAGGTCACCCGATGGGCATTAGAACCACGGCTCTCACTTGGCCATCCATGCTGCTCTCTCTTCCCTCGGTGCCTTCAACAAGCAGCAGCTTCTAACAAGTTCCAGGCCCTGTGATTTCCCAACCCCTTGCCATTGTCCTGATGCTCATTTGAGCTCTTGGTCTGTTTCCAGGCTCAAGACCAGAGCTGCAGACCAGGGGCCAGATGTGGCCTACAGACGTGTCTCATTCCCTGCATGGTGTTTATGCTTTTTTTTTTTTTTTTTTTTTTTTTTTTTTTTTTTTTTTTAGTGAACTCATTTCCAGCATGTTTTAGGAAATCAGAAAATTGGGGTGAGGAAAAAAAAAAAATAACCCAAATTTTGGCTTCCCTGGAGAAATTGGCACATCTGGCCATTCTCATTCCTGTGTAGATGCTCTTGGCTGGAGGCAAAGAGCAGTTATCACCACAGTCTCCACTACTCCCTATTACCTCTCGTAAAGATTCACATGTCAGTTGCTGTGTCCAAAATTGTAGCTATCTATCCATTGGTCTCTGTTAAGAGTAGGAAAGTAAGAGCTAGACTGAGAGAGCCACACACTCCAGGAAGAGCTGACGACAAACCTTTTGTTCAACCCTGGCCCGTTTCCCCCGTTTTACACCTCGTTAGGCCCCCATAGGCTGATGTGTGTGTGTGCCTGCAGCACCACAGGTGGCCTCATCCTTTGCACGCCATCCCCCTTCCCCTCTCCTGGTTTCTGTCTCTCTTGCTCGTTTCCATCTGAGCGCATTTTCCACTGCAGCTTCTCCCAATCCTGCTCACAGAGTCGTAGCTGCATCAGATAGTTCTGCCCCCACCACAGGGCCTGCCGTTCACTGCTGGTCATGCTAAGAGGGACAAAGAGGTGCAGGAATTACTCAAAACCCCCAGCTAATCACGGCCGGATCCTGGGATTTGAAATGTGAACCCAAAGCTCATGCTTACACAGAATAAACGTTTATTTTTCTCTCACTTAAGTCTGAAGGCCAGTCATCCAAGGTCAGGGTGGAGCTTCATGGTGCCATTTGGGATCTAGTCCCCTCCCATATTTCTGTTCTGTGACCCTAATCCACGGCTCCCAGCCTCACGCTTCACCTCATGATCCAACATGGCTGCTGGGGCTCCAGCCATCACACCTATAGTCTATCCTGTCTGTGCTCTTGAAGCAGCCATCCCAAAGGGTAGACTCGCAAAAAACAGTCACATGGCCACACCTAGATGCAGGGGAAACTGGGAGCAATAGTCTTTATTCTGAGTAGCAGTATACATAGTCAAAAATCAATAGCCAGGCCGAAACCGGTTTGGCTCGGTGAATAGAGCGTCAGCCTGTGGACTGAAGGGTCCCAGGTTGGATTCCAGTCAAGGGCACGTACTCTGGTTGCGGGCACATCCCCAGTGGGGGGTGTGCAAGAGGCATCTGATGTTTCTAGCTCTCTATCTCTCTCAATAAAAAAATAAATAAATAATATATATATATATATATATATATATATATATATATTTTTTTTTTATTTTTTTTTAATCAGCAGCCAGGGTCCTGTTACTTTGTGAATTTTATGAATGCTAAGAGGTTAGCAATTAGCTATGTGTATTAGTTTTCTGTGGCTGCATAATCACCACAAACGGGGCGGCTTGAATCACCAGCAGTGTGTTACCTTCACCTGTGAGGGTCAACAGTGTGGTGAGGCGCTGCTGGGTTCTCTGCTCCTGAGCGCACAGGGCTGAGATCAAGGTGTGAGCACCTGCGTTGTCTTTCAAGCCCATTCAGGTTGCTGGCCAAATCTTATTCCTTGCCGATGTAGGACCAGGTCCCCAGTTTCTTGCTGGCTGCCAGCCCCGGGCTCTGCCAGCTTCTGGAGGGCATTCTCCCTCCCTCCCCATGATCCTCTTGCAAATGGCTACTTGATCCTTCAGAGCCAGGAGAATCCCTCCTTATTTTAAGGCCCATCTGATTGGGGCAGGCCCACCCAGGCTAGTCTCCCTTTGATGAGCTCAAAGTCAATCGATTAGGGGCCTTCATTACATCCGTGAACCCCTTCACTATTGGGAGGCGGGTTCTGGGAAGGAGAGTTGAGGCAGACAGGAGAGTCCCATGTACCTCCCAGGCCTGTCTTGGGGTTCTGCTTGATCAAAAAATTTGGGGCCATCTTCGGATTCTGCTTGTACAGCACCTAAGCTGCACTACACAGGTCGGAGGTGTCTGAGGGGGAGAGGACCCTGTGTCTCCGCCCCAGCCCTGTCGCAAGTAGGAGCACACCTATCCTCCGAGGGCCCTCAGGGTTACCTCGTGCAGACATCTTCCCCTCCCCTATGGGCCGGTTCCTCCTGGCTCAGACCCCTGCAGGACTCTGGCACTGGCCTTCCTTGGT